TTTTTCAAGTATGTTTTTCTACGAATTTCGGAAGCGTAAATGAAAATCTCGATAGCTCCTCATTTGTAAACTTGTTCAAGGGATATAATTTATTTATTATTATAATTTTATAAATTTACACACAAGATTTTTCTTTATTTCTATTACTCCGAATTTTGATTTATCGAAATACAAAATCTTCAAAATATTCGTTGCAAAAAATCGTTCTATTTTCAGATATTTTTGATGATAAAGCTCTACAATTGAATGATGATTTCAAGAATCACCGTCTAAAATTGGAATGTACTGTTCATCATGTGAATACAAATCTGCAACTTATGATAAAATAATGGATATTGAATGTGAAGTTCATGTGCCATTGGGAACATTTAAAGAACATGGACATCCACATAATTCTAACCGAGACTAATGGTTCCATAGGACCTTGCTTTATTTTATAAAATAAAAAAATTACGTATCACTATTACATGACCGGTTCTTTTCCATTATTAATATTAGCCATCATATTTTTAATTATAGGACAGCTACGGTAGGTATGATCTGGTTTTCGTAAATCTTACATTTTCGCAGGAGCGGTCCATTATCTACTCTAGAGTTTCTGACTATATTTATTGATGGATTTGGGCCAGGCAATTCTTCACATTGATCTAATTTATTTGCAAGATTGATATTTGCGTAATTAATGTCCATCGGTTCCAATACTCTGTTTTCTTCAGCCTCAAGACCCATTTTCAGCGTAATTTTTTAGATCCATAATATTAATATTTAGCTTTTTCAGTTTTGAGACGAAATTTTCGTTGAAATGGTTGAGGTTTTGGCTGTTGTTGAAACATAGGTTGTTGAACGATTTGTTGAGGCGGTTGGAATACTGTTTGTTGAACAGCCTTCTGAGATTGTGGAAACATAGATTGTTGTATAATTTGTTGAGGCTGCCTATCAAAAATGATCACCCACATACAATACTATTTCCCATACAACTTATGTGTTTATCTTTTATTCATTTTAAACTTTTCCCACCATATTTGGACAGATTGGAAGGCATAAATCTGATTCAATAAGGAATGATCAACATCTACTTATGATTAAAGTTTGAAACACTTGTTTTGTATTTCTAGAGATATTATGACAAAGCATCACCAGGATAAAATTCTCCTATTTTATTTCGCTGTGATAACATTGGAATTAATAATATACAGGTTTTTTTTGAGAAACGGTGACAATTCTTTGGTGTGAATTTTTTTTTAATTTATCAATTAAGTTTTCTTTCTAGAAAACATTATTTCTTAATATTTATTACAACATACTTGTATTAATAGGAAGCTGTACAATAAAAATAAATAAATATATGTATAAAACATTATATTAGACATATTTTTAAAGATTAAATATAATACATATCTTAGTAAGTACAGATAAACAAACAACTTTTTATCTTATCCAAGAAATTTCAAGTGATGTAATAATACTTATTATTATTATGAAACAATACATTTCTTATGATTCTTCCTGATGAGAGAAAATGCAAGCGCAGTACGGGCAGCAGAATGTCAGGAATTTCACACGTGTCTAATTATTATTATTATCTATTTTTTTGTGTACTGTACACTCATCAAAAACATCAAGAATCATCGGATAAGAAAAACCAAAATTACAATTTTTTTTTAATAATTTTAATTGGCTGGAAATTACTTAACAACTAACTTTTAAACTAATTGTTGTGAAAATTGACAATAAAACATGATTTTGGGTCTTCTGAGCATTTTTTTTTATGGCAAGAAACATGTTTTTGCATTGGAACTTAAAATTGTTGAGCTTTTCATTAAAAACCAACCAACAAATGCACCTCTACATTTATCCGTTGATTCTTGATTCAGGCGCATTAGATCATGACTGTGAACCATTATCCGATCAATCAACATGCTTGTTATGAAATCATTGGTAAACATTCAACGTGTTCTAATTTGTTAAGAACATGTACCTATGCAACTACATGTTTATTTTTACACCATACATCTTTCTTTTTTTAATGCTACGTGGTTATGCTTATTGCCATGTCATCCATGCTGCAATGTTAAAATGTGTTCCTACGCCCATCATTAATTGTTGTTGCTGTCAATTAATGTGTTCGAAATTGTTAAGAACATGTACCTATCAACTACGTGTTTATTTTTACACCTTATGTCTTTCTTTTTTTTCGCATGTGGACGCGTTTATTGTCATGTCTACATTAACATATTGTTTCTTGTGCTGCCATTCATTTAATTACTGATTTTTACGATTTGACTAGTGAAGAAGGGTTTGTATAAAAAGATTAAGTGAATGAGCTACTAGATCCAAAGAAAATATTTGATACTCACGAAACAATTTAAATCACATCTAAAAAAAATAAAAAATAAAGCTCATAAATAATTATGTCTTCCGTCTTATCTACAATCGCATTTGTAAAGTCTGTGAGTGGATCTAACATTTTGAATTGTGTGGCAACTTCAAGACCTGACAATGGTGATTTTTTGGACTTTACATTCAGGGCCTTTAATTCCAACGAAGACATCATGACCCAGGATATACAGAAGAATTCTTTTATGGTGTTTGTTGGAGATGCTTGCATAATGTTTCTAAATAATAAATTGTTTGAACATGGAATATATAATGGGACAATAGGAGCAATCACCAAGGTAATTGATGATGATAATGTTGAGGTCGCTTTCCCCACAGCTAACAATATTGTAAAGATAAATGTTCAAAGAGAAATCACATACTTCACTATCAATGGAATACCAGCATCCAGGAAGCGATTCCCAATTCAGAATGCATTTGCACTCACTGTTCACAAGACACAAGGCCTTACACTACCACACTCAACTGTATCCATTGATGAAAATATGTTCGCCACAGGACAGATCTATGTGGCAATGAGTAGGCACCTTTGTGGGGTTCTCTGGATATATTATCTTTTGATTTTGATTACATAGACATGTTATTTATGAGTACAAAAGATTAAATCTCTTGAACCAAAATGGCTTGAAAGAATTGATGTAATAAAAAAATACCTTGTAAAAAAAGTATGTAAAAAAAATCATTAGAAAATTTGTTTCAATTAATTATCAACGTAATAAATAAATAAATAAATAAATAAATAAATAAATAAATAAATAAATAAATAAATAAATAAATAAAAATTGTTTTTCATTTTTCACCTACCAAAAAATTATGCAATCAGAAATTAATATATTAAGACAATCACGATTGTTATATTTGTGTGTATTAGTCCTGCTCTAAGCCTAAAAGCGCCATCATCTTTGAATGATTTAAATACTGTTAATTCTCAAACTCATGAAAAATAAATGATTTATGAAGAGGAAGTAAAAAAAGGAATATTGCTTGGAGATATTTTAAGCAACTCTAAAGCAAAATGATAAAAGAAATTATGTGTGGAAAAAGATTGATGACTAATAATTATTAAAATTAATTTTTTCTCACTTCATTTTGAAATTTGAAAAAGTGACATTAATATTAACGTAATAATTTTTCAAGTATGTTTTTCTACGAATTTCGGAAGCGTAAATGAAAATCTCGATAGCTCCTCATTTGTAAACTTGTTCAAGGGATATAATTTATTTATTATTATAATTTTATAAATTTACACACAAGATTTTTCTTTATTTCTATTACTCCGAATTTTGATTTATCGAAATACAAAATCTTCAAAATATTCGTTGCAAAAAATCGTTCTATTTTCAGATATTTTTGATGATAAAGCTCTACAATTGAATGATGATTTCAAGAATCACCGTCTAAAATTGGAATGTACTGTTCATCATGTGAATACAAATCTGCAACTTATGATAAAATAATGGATATTGAATGTGAAGTTCATGTGCCATTGGGAACATTTAAAGAACATGGACATCCACATAATTCTAACCGAGACTAATGGTTCCATAGGACCTTGCTTTATTTTATAAAATAAAAAAATTACGTATCACTATTACATGACCGGTTCTTTTCCATTATTAATATTAGCCATCATATTTTTAATTATAGGACAGCTACGGTAGGTATGATCTGGTTTTCGTAAATCTTACATTTTCGCAGGAGCGGTCCATTATCTACTCTAGAGTTTCTGACTATATTTATTGATGGATTTGGGCCAGGCAATTCTTCACATTGATCTAATTTATTTGCAAGATTGATATTTGCGTAATTAATGTCCATCGGTTCCAATACTCTGTTTTCTTCAGCCTCAAGACCCATTTTCAGCGTAATTTTTTAGATCCATAATATTAATATTTAGCTTTTTCAGTTTTGAGACGAAATTTTCGTTGAAATGGTTGAGGTTTTGGCTGTTGTTGAAACATAGGTTGTTGAACGATTTGTTGAGGCGGTTGGAATACTGTTTGTTGAACAGCCTTCTGAGATTGTGGAAACATAGATTGTTGTATAATTTGTTGAGGCTGCCTATCAAAAATGATCACCCACATACAATACTATTTCCCATACAACTTATGTGTTTATCTTTTATTCATTTTAAACTTTTCCCACCATATTTGGACAGATTGGAAGGCATAAATCTGATTCAATAAGGAATGATCAACATCTACTTATGATTAAAGTTTGAAACACTTGTTTTGTATTTCTAGAGATATTATGACAAAGCATCACCAGGATAAAATTCTCCTATTTTATTTCGCTGTGATAACATTGGAATTAATAATATACAGGTTTTTTTTGAGAAACGGTGACAATTCTTTGGTGTGAATTTTTTTTTAATTTATCAATTAAGTTTTCTTTCTAGAAAACATTATTTCTTAATATTTATTACAACATACTTGTATTAATAGGAAGCTGTACAATAAAAATAAATAAATATATGTATAAAACATTATATTAGACATATTTTTAAAGATTAAATATAATACATATCTTAGTAAGTACAGATAAACAAACAACTTTTTATCTTATCCAAGAAATTTCAAGTGATGTAATAATACTTATTATTATTATGAAACAATACATTTCTTATGATTCTTCCTGATGAGAGAAAATGCAAGCGCAGTACGGGCAGCATGCTCAAACACCTCATTCACACCTTCACAATTCAACGCTGAACACTCCAAATATTTAACCGCATTTATCAGTTTTGCAACTTTAGATCCTTCTTCATAAGTTATCGGTTTTCGGTAGGATTTTTGTAGGTATCTAATTGTTTTTTCGTCGTTTCTTGTATCTATCTTGGTACCGACTAAAATGATTGGTGCAGATTTGGAGTAACGATCCACTTCCACCGCCCATTTATCTATTACATTTTCTAAGGTATCGGGACAATCAACAGAAAATAGAACCAAAAATGTATGAGTAGCCGGGTACGAAACCGCCCTTAGTTTCTCGTAATCCTCTTGACCAGCTGTATCCCATAATGACAACGACGCATATTGTCCATCAATTTCAACATTTACACAAAAATTCTCAAAGACTGTAGGAATGTAAACAAGTTGACATTTGCCAAATACAAATGCCTCCAAAAGACTTGATTTACCAACTGCACCACTACCTATAACTACAACTTTTAATCTGATTTCATCCTTGTTGAGAAATGGTAGCAGATTTGACGATCTGGAAACTTTTGTGAAATTGTGATTTTGCGAATTTTGGTCATTTTTCTTAGATGATATGATAGCTTGATTATGTGAAGATCCAGATGTTGTTAAAGTATCTGTTTCTGGAAAAGAAGTACGTATCGTTTCAATTGAGGGTTCTATGTTTCTTTCGAAAAATGTTGGCTGCGTGACTATCTTCGATGTTTGAGAAGGTTGGGATAAATCAATGTTCATAGTAGATTTGGGAATATCTATGAAAGTCAGATCTTTGACACATTCAGAAGACCAAATATCATCAGGAATCACAAGATTATATTGTAAGGAATTATATGCATCTGATAATTAATGTAGATTATCAATATTAATAACCATATATATTCATTCATATTCAATGGGTCATCAAGAAATAAAAATATTCCTTGTAGCAACAAATACCTGAATCTGTATTAATGTCGATATTTCTTTGAGTTATTTGTCGATCAGATGTGGGCGACGTGGTGTCTAAAATGGGCGAAGTAGCTTTTCCGCAAAAAGATAACAATGTGATTTCATGAATTATAATTTTTGCCAGATAATGACAGTTGACTAACCTTCTATACTCTCTGTGTAACATTTAGTTATCCTTTCAAGAGATTGTAAAACAGTGTAGATGTTTGGTCGGAGCTGTGGAGTCTTGTTCCAACATTCCTGATAAAGCAAAACATATTCTTGTGGTGTTCCAATAACTGGTGTCTCTCGTGAACCAAGACTTATAGATATCGCCAATGCAACATCACATGGATATATTTCAAAAGGAGGTTTACCACTTGATATTTCCCATAGCACTACCCCAAGACTATATATATCAGATGCTTTGTCATGTTTATAGCTTGGATTTTCAAGACGCTTAGGTTCGATGTATGGAATCATTCCAAAAACACCGTTAACCGAATTTGACATGGTATCAAGGTTTTTAGAAATCCCAAAATCTGCAATTTTTGGCTCACCATTGTCGATTAAAATATTTCTTGAATGCTGCAAACAGAACAATAAATTTAAATTAGACAAGGTATAACATTGAATTGTGCATCTAAATATTAAAAGGTATTACAAGATCACAGTGAACAATATTTTCATCATGAAGACAATTGAGACCGTCAGCAATTCCAAAAGCAATTTTGAATCTATCATTCCATGTGAAAGTTGAATGTTTACGCGCAAGGTAATCTCTTAAATTTCCATCTTTAGCATATTGAAGAACAAGTAGACGGTCTTTATTACATGGATCTAATGAACAATGATATGTGAGAAGTGGAGCTCGTGAGCTATATATTATAACGAAAAAAACTTTCCATACAATGAGAATCTGGCAAATAATGCTATCAAAATGTGAAGTTTTGATTATAGTATTATAAAATATTCAAAATACTTTGATCCTATCGTTTAGATGAAACAATAAATTACCTTGACTAATACCCAAGATTCGAATTATGTTGTCATGGTATTCCACTCGCTTTTGAATTTGTAACTATTACTCATGATAAATATTGAAAATGGGTTGGATTTTAGAAGTCAAAAAACGATAAAAAAAATGTCAGTAACATATAATAACTATGATGATCTGCGCATATAAGCAGTAATTTTCCTGATATACCTCATGAAAAAACTTTTCATTGGATGTATCGTCTTCCTCAAAAGCAAGTAGCCTCTTAACAGCAACTTTCTTTCTTATTTTTGGCCAATATGCAACGGAGATACTTCCAAACTTACCACAATCAATCTTAGTCAGACCTTCTAGTTCAACATATGGGATGGATTTTATAAGTTTGTAATGGAAGGCATCATTTAGCATAAACTTGCTGTTTTCTGCCATTAATGTTGAAAAATGTTACAAATTCAAAATAAAAAGATACCAGCATCTCTATCACTATGTAACCGTTGTATGTGAAATTGCAGTTTGGGATTATACCACAAATGGATGTGTAGTAATTCCGCCTTATACATATGGTATCAGAATTTTCTAGGGTTTTTCTATAAAAATTTTCTAACACATGAAAAATAATAATTAATTTCATTTTTTTGAACACAGATTTTTTATTTTTATCTTTATAATAAATATATAGTTGGCAAAAGAAACTTAAATAATTTTTCAAAACAAAAAAAAATTGTGCTTATATTTTTATTAATTCTGCAATTATTAAAGTTGTAATGCAGTAGTATAATATTATATAATCATTGACATTAAATTCAAAAATTTTTTTTTACTTGTCTAAACTTACCTTCATCAGGAAGCTTTTGAGCTTAAAGGATCCTAGAGGATTCCCCCAAATTTTTATTAGTAGGGATCCTTCGCCACCCGCAAATATTTGCTGAGGACCCCTGAAAAAATATCCCGATTTACTATTAGGGATTCCTTCTGTATTATATGGAATTTTTATTTCAATTAAAATGAACCACATTAAAAATCAATATGCGATGATACAAATTTGTCAAATTTATATTACTAATAGCAATAAAGTTTATTATTATTATTATGAGTTCTCAATATTACAGTCATCAAATAGATCATTATAAATTTTATATCACTATTCTCATTGTCCTTTTTTTTACATATCTTCAAATTCTGATTCATTACCATCTGAATCTGTAACATAACCTCTAACAAGTTCTTTTTGTCTAATATATTTGGTAATATCTACAGTTATCATTTGTGAATTATTTATACAATCCTATAGTAATAATATATATACAATATACAGTATATTAAAAACAGATTTTTGGGATTGGTGAAAGTGCTAGTGCTCAATGAATAATTAAGTGAGAATATATTAAAAACATTCACTGTAACTTACGTTGGTTATGTTGATCATTCTTTAATGATTTGTGACCAATTCCACCATGCTTGTTAACTCTGTATATTAATACATATTTTTATATTGCGTATTTTATTTGTATTAGTAACTGTTCTTCTATATAGTACTTTACTATCCCGTGATTTCTGCGCTGCCCGGGGCGTAACGCCACACATTTAATGATTTTCCGCAGATAACTAGTTACACACAAATTATATATATATATGACATTGTTTTTCTTTCTCATCGATAGTTTCTTTCAAAAGTAGAAAACCAAGCAAAAAAAAAATGTCAACTCAAATTCTTACTAAAAAACTTCAATTTGGAACCGAAATTGGAAGTCATGTTAATATTGACAGTGTATATAAAAGGATTTTAAAATCAAATAAGATCCATGCAATTTCAGAACCAAATTCTACCAATTCTCAAGTCATTGAGAGAGCTCTAACTCCAAATGGATTTATTTCCGCTTTTTTTCAATCTTATAACTATCATCAACATTTAAAACTTTCACCTGATGATATCTGGTTAGTTATTGCCCTAGGAGTCAGTCAACATATTAATTTTAATTCGGAAAAATATCGTTATATGTTTGTTGAGCATGAAGGCAAAAAAGAAATTAATGTTTATGTTGATGGCCTTTTGGATTTTAGTAGTGAAAGCATTGGAGGAAATTGGGATCGAGCAGTTCAACTGTTAACTGATGCAACTGATAGTCAAGTTAAAGAAGAAGTTGGAATAAAAAGATTATTGGAATGTAATTTTACTACTACAACTCCTACCACAAAAACTGCTAGTAATATCGTGTTATTAGATACTATGAAATCCTATTTTAGTTATAGAATGTCAACTAGGTGTGGCATTCCAAAGATCACTTTAACTGGTACTCTAGAAGATTGGACGAAAATTCAAGAAAAATTAGTTCAATTACGTAAATTAAATTTGGATTTAGATTTTTGGTTAAATAAATTAGATCCAATTATTGGGGAATTTGTTTCAACTTATAAAGGTGAAATACATGAAGATTTTTGGAGTAGAGTTTTGTCTTATCGATCTTATGGCTCTGGTGAGCCTACTTTAACCGGTTGGATTACTACGTTCTTTCCTTATACTTATGATGGTCGTCCTTTAGGAGCAACTGCACGTTTGGGTGATTTACCTTGTGGTCGAGTTAGTGTACCCTTTATTGGTAGTTTTGTTGAAGTCGGCATGGATTTAAAGCTACAACTTGTTACGGGTTTTATAGGCTACAAACAAGAAAGTGCTAACAACAATGATGGTGATGCAGAAGTTATTGTTTCACCTGTAATTAGTTGGGCGGTTGCTGAAAATAATGAAGAATAAGCTGAAAGTTACAAAGAACTAGCATATTGATTTTATTATTATTATTATCATTGCTTTGATTTTAAGTTGTATATATATTTTTGTCGTTATTATTTTTAAAAATTAAATTAAATGACTTTGGTATGCTTGCCAAGTGACATGACTTGTTACACTTAACTTAATGTAGTTTAGCTTAATTGAAACATTATTTATTGAAGGCTTGTTGATGATTTCTTATACAATTCACTCTCTCTATAATGGATCTTTCTATAACGGATCTCGGACTGAGAATTTAAGCCCAATTATATGTTTCATCCCGTAATAATAAATTATTACAGACGGATTGATTTCCTCTATATAACGGATATTTTCCCCAATATTAAGCCAGATGGTCTGTTATACAGAGAATGAACTGTATACAATTGCAAATCATTAAAGAGAGGTTATTTTGCTTCAAAGATTCTTTACTTCAAGTTTTAATTACCAACCCTGTCCGCCCTGTGGATAAGTGATCTCGTTTAACGATTTTTGACTTGACATAATAATAAGGGGGAATAGTTACGACATTGTGTTTGCTGTGCAAGCAGGCTTAATTTTATTAATATATGACATATCGATTTTACGACTGATGCTTTTCCTGGGGGGATAGATTTATCGTATAACGAGTATTTGGTATACATTTGGTAGTAACATTTATTCCAATACAGATTAACATTAGATGCTCAACCTAAATCGCTAAACAACTTGTTGAAGTATGAGTATGTAGTTCGAATTCACCTTCGTTAAAAGTAGAAAAGAATGACAGCAACGACAGCTATAATTATGCAATTGACTATTGCTTTATCTAAAGCTCTTACATATTAGTATTAGTATTAGACTTAAAGCTGTTAACCGAATCCGAAGCTATTCGGACTTCAAAAAAAACAATGCATCGGTAGTAGAAAGGTTTCTGGCAAAAAAGAATTTTTTTCTTTTTTAATGAACTCTATATAACATATATGTTCTATTAAAATCAATTATTTACCTGGTGGACTCTCGGATCAACATATCTATCTAAACCATCTATATTAACTGAATTTCTCATCTTATTTTCAATTATACTTCTATTTGGAAAAGACCTTTTTTTTCATGAGCAAGACGTATTATTTTATATTTACAAACATTAAATAATTTGATATTTCAATGATTGATTATATTTTATACCGGTGATTATCTCGACTATTAA